ATATTCATCAAGCTCACCTTTTTCTCTATACTCGTCCAGCACTGGTTCATATTCTCTCTCTCTCTTTCCTGAAGGTTGGGGTGAAGTGAGACTTCTCAGCTACTTTTTCAAACAGATACGCATTCTCTAAGTTTTGTCTTTGCCCGAATGATCAGGTAGTTGCAATATTAAAAACTTCAACTCAGAAACTTGCTAACCACAGCAGGACCCCTACTCTAGTCTTCTTGGCTTTTCACCTGGATTATTGTTATGCTACCATCTTCTTTAGTTTGCCCTCCTGAGTCTGTCCTAGTCTACACACTCTCCTCCCTTTAAAACATAACTTCCATTCTGTTATTTCCCTACAAGAGCTTTGGTGTATCCCCATTTGCTACCAAGTCCAGTCCGAGATACTCAACAGCGCTGCATTCAAGCCTTTCTATGCTTAATTCCCATGACAATCCTTCTTCAAGCCAATATGTCGGCCAAATTGAACTATTGAGGTATTCCTCTGTCTGTTTTACCCCCATCAACTTTATCTTTGCTAACAGGGGTCACTCCTGGTATTGTCTGCCTCACCATCTCTGTGAGTTCAACTCCTAATCATTCTTCAAGACCAGTTTAAAGATTACCTCCTCTATTATCACCTAACCATCCCCAACACTGTCTTCTACCATCCCCTCCCCACTGGCTTCTACCCCAGATCAATAATTCTTCTCCTCTTCCATGGAGTTCCCAAAGCATTTCTCCTTTTGCAAGATATCACTTTCTGCCTTACACTTACCTTTTTTATAAGCATGTATTATTTGTCATATGTCTGTTTCCCTAAAACTATTATAAGGTTAATAAAGGGCAAGGGTTGAACTCTTGCTCATCTTTATATTCCCTATGGTGTCTCATAGTATTTACATTTAAGCTCCATTACTAGTTTCTGCTAATACTGAACTATGTGACTTTGAGTAAGTAATTGAACATGTTTGAGTCAATTTACTCATAAATCAAAAACACATTCTAATTCAACAGTCTTAATTTGAGATGGTTTAAATTACATATTCCTGGGTTTGTACAGGAAAACTTAAAAACACACACCAAAATTAAGATTTCCATATAACCTTTACAAAACCTAAAATTACAACTGCAAGAGCTGTTTCCACTGACAAATTCCTGCAATTTTTCTCTTGACTTATTTGGATCAATATAGAATGAGGTGGTTATTCCCATTCTGGCTATCATTGCTGTATCAAGTATCAGTGACCTAATCTGCTTCTCAACTTTTACTTAGTCTAGGATTAGTTTTGTATGTTGGGAGGGAATCATTCAATCAATCATTTATTCCACAAATACTTATTAAGTGTCTATTAACCAAGCATTTTTCCAGGTGATGTGCTCTCACATTTACTGAATCAAAGAGGGAAGAGGAGAAAAGCTGGTGACATTAAGGAATTGTTTTCTTATTTTTAATTGTTCGATACAATCTGTCTCTCCAGTTAGTACATCAGGGAGGTTTTAGACCACCTAGGTTATTCTAAGACTCAAGGAAACTCTCCCATGGTTAATGCTTCCTAAAAGCAAAAGAAAAATGCCTATTTTTAAAAAATTTGTCCTGATACTGTAGGGAGTGAGTGCAAAGTGCTTCCACTCAATCCTTCTAAAGATAATACACTGGAAACATTTTGGTGGGTGTGAATCACTCAGACAAGCATTCTTCACTCAAAAATAGAAACTAACTTTATTTGTTCCAGATGTTATACAGCTGCAGGGAAGTTAAAGCCAGTGGTCCTGTTTTCAATGCAACCAAACTCTTATTGCATTTGGAATTTCTTAACCAATGAACTCATATTACTTGTTCTAAGACCTGCACAATTTTCTTTTTTCCACTGTTACCATTCACAAACAACTATGTTTCGTGGGAACCACTTTTCAGAATTAATGAGTCTACATCTGTCTTGTGCAAAGGAAAGACATCCTGTTTATCACAGTTTCCACCTTTCATTTATCTTGACCTTTTAAAATTTTAGGCATAAAATATTTCAAAGAGATTACTTGAAGGAAAGAAAAAGGAGAGTTGAGGTGCATTGTTCTTACAATATTTTAGAGCACATTTTGGAATCATAAGTTATGGTGGTTATTTTAGGAAGAATTTCAAATAAAATTATCCATAACAATATTGAGTGTAAAAATGTGTCTTCTTATCACTGTGCGTTTGTAATTTAAAAAACCTGACAACCCATTTTTTGATTCTCCTGTAGGCCTGTCTATAACAGATGCTGTATGGGTGCATGAAATACAAAAGGATCATGGCTCTTTGAAGGTAAGTTATTATGTAGAAGAAATACATGATAATTTCGTATCTAGTCCATAAAGATCAAAATTTTTGTGTTATATTTTGTTTGAAAACAAGAGTGCCAAATCTCTTGAGATTATTGTCTTTATATGGAGAAGCTTTTCTCAAATTGTGGTCCCTAGATCAGCTGTAGCAAAATCACACTGGCTGCCTGTGAAAATATGTATGTCTGGGACCAGCGGAGTCAGAATCTCAGAGACGTGGGGCAGTAAAGGGACCCTACCGATCAGAGAACAGCAACAACAACACTCATATCTTCCATTGTGAACTGGAAAATTCCTGAGAAGGTAAGTGAATTTCTCAAGGTCGGGCAGTCAGGTAATAGTAAAGTAAGGCATAGAATTTTGTTTATTGATGCTGGAACCAGCATTCTTTTCCAGTAGGTCAGCTATTAATTTTTATCTTCCAAAAGATAAGATTAAAAGAAAAATTAAATAAATATAAGCATCTAAATATTATCATGTGTCCCACCCAACAATTGTTTTATAATTAATTCTTTGAATAATTCTTTCTTCTCATCACTAATTAACTCAACCCTTGTTCCTTCTCCAGGATTTGGAAATAGCTTTCCTTCAGACTCATCATGAATCTTCTGAATTCTAATCAAATTATAATCAAAGTCTTCCTCCTCCAAGGAGGAAAATGTTATATTTCATGTATTGGTGACTCAATCTTAGAAGTCTCATGATTAGTTATTTTAGGAAATGATTGTTTTAGTTATTTAAACCATGTTCGAGTGAAAATTTGTATTCAATAATGATTCCACAAAGACTATAAAAACTATAACTCATGACATACATTCTTGAAATATGTATATGCTGTTAGTTAAAACAGACCCTTAAAGTAGTTCAAGTGTGATATCATTCAAAACTGTTTCAAAAATTTACTTCACACGTCTTAATGAAGCTATTAATAATTTTATATCTTTAGCCCTCTCAAAGTCTCTGTGAATGTAATTTGTAAGTTTCCTGTACTTTGCCTCAATTTTGACACTTTTGTGATAAGGAAAGAGGCACCGCTAGAGAGAAGGTGTGTTGGTATTCATAGATTCATAATAAGTATGGCCCCAATGATTTTCAGGTTCAGTCCTTCATTTACTAATGAGAAACTTGAGATGAAAAAAAATAATGGCCTTTTTAAAAAATTTTATTTACTTAGGTAATCTCTACATCCCATGTGGGGGTCAAACTCACAACTTGAAGGTCAAACATTGTATGTTCCTCCTACTGAGCCAGCCAGGTGACCCAAGAGAAATGTTCTTTTGAAGAAGATAGTTTTGTGTCAGAAACGCCAGTTGTCCACGCAATTCTCTCTTCTCCCTTTTCCAGAACTTCTGATTTCAGCTAAGTGTTGGACCACCTGAATCAAGATTACATTTCCCAGCCTTCCATGTAGATAGATACAGCCATGTGACTAAGCTCTTGTCATGGAATGAACATAAGTGAACCTTTGTATAGTAACTTTTGGAAAACTTCCTTAAAAGGTAATGAGGGGGGATGTCTTTTGCAGCCTCTAAACTCCCTCCATGAATTCTGTCTGAAAGGTGGTTGTTTTGGCTGGATTTCTGTTTTGGCCCATGAGGACGAAGTCCACCTTTGCCCATAGACCGTGGAGCTGGCATTCTAGCTTTGAAGTCACACTATCTAGACTCACACATGAGAGACAAAGAAGTTTCTATTCTGTTTAAGTCATTGCGTTGGGATTTCTGATATTTGGAGCTAATTCTGATAGCAGACAACAATCCATTTTATTACTACAGCATTTCATTTATTCATTATTTTAGCACACAGTTATTGAGCACTTTATAGGAGCAAAAATCATTTTATTTTTTATTTTAAATTCCTGAAAAGTCTTGGAAAAGTTTTTAGAACCAGACTCACATTTTCCTTTGGTCCATCCTTGCCCCTAACCCAGGAATATTATACAATTCCTATTTCTTTCACTATGAAGGAATATTTTTCTTGACTTAGATTTTAGACTGATGCTGTCTGTCATATGAGTAACATGTTTTCCAAAAGTTAAAAACAAAATGCCTAAGCAACTCAAGCCCGTATGACTTTAAATTTCAACTTCGCGCCCAAAATATGACAAGTCATGATTAAAAGTCATGATGCAAATACAGTCTTTGAAAATATGCAAGATGTAAATATTTGTCCTTGAGCACATTCAAAATACCATGGGACATGTCTTTAAAATATTCAAATAAAATATATTTTCTAAGTTACCACTTAGGAATGCACTGAGGGCAATACTGTTTTCAGTGTTAGTCACATTTAAAAAGGGATGTTAGAATTCTGGGAACATTTGTGAGGTGAGAATCTCCCTTCTGTAAATGATTCATCTTTCCATTTAGAGCAAAAAGTACTGGATATCCACAGGATCAGAGCACACAAATGCAGTGCTCACTGGCTCCTTGATCTAATTTTGCTGGTAGGCATGGAGAAGCATTCTCACTTGTGAGTCCTATTTAAATTCTCCCAAATTCTTCCTTATTGATTTCTGATAATTTATTAAGTTTGAAGTTCTTTTCTTTAAGAATAATGCATGTTCTACATTTCAACATAGTCTTTTATTTCTAGACTTAAATACGGGGGTGTCAAATATTTAATAAATATTTGTAATAATGGAAAAAATGCAACAAAATTTGAAGGGATATATAAATGAAAAGCAGTCTTACCTTTGGATCCACATTGAGAATTTTTCTGTCTCTTTTGTATTTGAAAAGTAAGCCTTCAAGATTATCAGCAATCACTTGATAATTGGGAGTTGAATTCCAAACAGCAAAATGATTGTCCCAGTTGTAAAAGCTAGAAAAATAAATATCTATTAGAAATGTATATGTACGATACAATATGTTGACAAATATATTTGAGAAAATATCTGAGGCAATTCAGTTTCAAGATAAATGAATTGGAATAGTTTGTATAACCATGTAAGACACATGTGTGGTTAAAATTCTTGCAGAAGAGGGGATCCGGGGTAGCTCGGTTAAGCATCTGACTCTTGAGCTCAGCTCAGGTTATGATCTCACAGTTTGTGGGATTGAGCCCCACCCTGGGCTCTGCGCTAATCTGTGGAGCCTGCTGGAGATTCTCTCTCCCTCTCCCTCTGCCCCTCCCCTGCCTGCATTGTCTCACACAAAAATAAATTTAAAAAATTATTGCAGAAGAGATTAGATTGGGTCATTCTCAAATCATTTAAATACATATTTATGACTATGTTGTGTAATGTCCTCATTTGGACACTCTAGGCACTAGGTTCCTATTCCTGTGTTGTATTCCCCAGAAAGTCAAGGAGAAAATTGATGCAATCTGAAGCTATTTCTTCCAGCTCAGATTCTTCAGGGTTTTAAGAGTATTCAGGGTATTAAGAGACTGTTTACTGGAAGGAAAGGCAGGCTAAGTCACCTCTTTTTATTCAAAACAAATTAATTCTTTTCTTTCAGGCTTTATTTTTTAATAATATGTTTCCGAGGAAGCGAGGAAACTATGTGATTTTGAGAGGTTACTGCAGGCCAGACATGATGTGATGTCTTCTATCATAACACCCATATGAAGCTGCTCTTATTTCATAGACAAGGCAAATAGACTAGGAGAGGTCAGCTGGGAGGGTGAAGGCCCTGTGACAAACATATCACAGGGCTAATATTTCAACCCAGATCTATGTTTCAAAGCACATGCATGTTTTTTCTACTGTTAAACATTGCCTGCATTTTATCTGATTCCTATTTTGTTTTTTGGTTGATCTGTGAAAACCTCCCATTTTTCTCATGCCTTTCTTTATATCTCCTTGTCAAAAATTATCATTATACTTAAGATGAGTTGTAAGAATTCGCAATATATTATTTTTACATATCTTATTCCTATTAGCACATTTCTAATAGTATGTTAATGTGTTCAAATACTAACATGTTTTTCATATGTCTAATATTATCCTATATCTGGGTTGTTTTGTCCTTTATTATCCCCCTTACTCATTGATTAAACTCACTGTGAATTATGGTGTTTTCTGAGGCATTAATTTTTGTGCTATTACCTAAAAATGTAGTGTTTACCCTCAAATTTTTCAATTCTTAGAAAGGACTCACTACATTGATCATATATTTATATTACTGGGTGCATATTAATGAGAACTATTTTCTCTCTTCCCCTACTACTTTTAATAGTATGTTTCCGAAGCACTGAGTTAGGAAATGTGGTTTTCTATCTTTGTCTGTTCTGTCTGTCCTCCCCAAGAGAGCAAGAATGACTATTTGATTGGTAAAAGGAGGAAAGATGCTGAGCATTCATGGCTTTCTATGTCCTTACTTTAGCTGCCCTTCAAAGGTGAAGTTTATCATGGGAGGCTCGGCCCTCAATAGGGTGATGGTAAGGCAGCAGCCTACAGCCTACAGCACATTCAATATAGTGGGGAAGGTATTAGGAGCCAATCTGACTATGCACCCAAGCTATATTCGCAAATTCTGCTTAATTCTCAAATTCTCACATCTGCATAAGTAAGAAGATAATCTGACCTCCACCTAACTGGCTATTTGGTTAAAAGATTGCTAGGTTGGAATAGGGGACATGGGTGTGCTTGTAAATCTCGTATATGTCTCTCTAAATAATTATGAGATATATAGATATGGATAATCCCAGTAAAATGCTTGAGTCATAGCTGTGCTTAGAGTGGCATGATTTATATCACACATTTCCATCTTCTTGCTCAGATCTCAAATTAAAAGCCTTATTAAAGTTCAGGCAGTATGTATGTGTGTGTGTGTATATATATATATACACATATATATATTCTTTTATTCTTATGTGTCTCTAACTCTCAAAATAAATAAATAAACTTTTAAAAAAGTTAATTTGTATAGCAGGTGGTATTTTTGATGAACAATTTACATTGTTTGTTAATACTTTGGTTCTTCTAGGCAAGGATTGGAAACAGGTTTCATTTCCCATGCCAATTTTAAGAGCTGGTATTTATTAGTATTTAGTATTATTTATTAGTATTTAATAAGAACTTAAATAAGTGTTAAATAAGTATTACATAAGCATTTAATAAGTAGTATTTCATAAGTATTTAATAATTAGTACTGAATAATTACCATGTGCTGGGTACAGTACTCAGCCTAATGAATATATTATCTCATTTAATCTTTTCACCAACCCCATGAAATAGATACAAAAATACATGCAGAGCCCAAGTAATCCTAAAGTGTACTTGTAAGTGAAAATGAAGGATTGGATTTGAAGGATACTGAAAAGTGGATTTGATTTTATGAGGGGGATGTCAACAAGACAGCAGCCACGAATTACTCTCATATTTCTGGTTTGGAATCCTAAGTGGAAAGAATTATTTACCAGAATATAAAATACAAGAGTAGGAACAAATCACAGGAGTTGGAGGAAGGGAGAAGGTTCAGTTTAGGATGTGTTGAACTTGTAATCCCCATGAAACATGGAAGAAAGTGAAAGCAAAGGTCTTTGTGCTTTTACCGCCATTCTTCTAATACCTCCATTCCTGACACATGGTAGGTGCTGAATGCACGTTAACTGAATAAATACATAATAGATGAGTTTTTGAATTTCACAGAGTTTCCTAAGATGAAGTAACAGATCTGAAAGTATCAGTGGTAATCATTCAAAGAGGTGGCTGAGATGGACAAAGGAGGCCATAGAGACAACAATGAAATCGGCACCATCAATCTTATAGGGAAGGAAAGGAATCAGCAAGGGAGAGTAAAAAACTGTCATCTGAAGTATAAGAAAGAACCCAGATAAAGTTATTTTGTTGCAAACCCGAAGAGAGGAGAATATATGAAGAAAGAGCACTTGAAGAAAGACGACAGTGTCAATGCTTCTAAAATTAGACGAGCTATGAAAGAATCCATGGGGATTTGTACTTGAAAGGATACTACAGGAGGAGCAGTTGTAATAAAGTGGTGGGAACAAAATTCAGGTCAGAGAATTTAAGGGATAAGAACAGATTACAAAATAAAAATAATTTCTTTAAGAATTTAGTTGTGATGCCAACAAGATAACTAGGATAGTGCTAGAGACCGAAATACAAAGTTAAGGGATCTCTCTTTTGCTCTTAAGTTGGAATATGAAGACAGAACAGTAGTACCCTGAAGAAACAAGAGATGTAAAAAGGCATTGCCATTAAAAAAAAACATATCTGAGACGATGTATTAATATGCACCAGCACCAAGGTATTCTTTTATTCATGTCGGCTAATTTGATTTCAGTAAGCTCCCTGCCTGTTACTTGTTACTAGTCCTATTATATAGATGACAAACCTGAAGCTGAGGGAAGATAATTACATTTTTAAGTTTATATATTACTTGATACTAGAATACAGTCTTGAATCCAGACTATAACTGCTCTTAATTTTTTTTAAAAAAATTATTGTAGTAAGAACACTTAGCAGGGGATTTACCCTGTTAATTTTTAAGTGTATAGAACATTAACTACAGGTACAATGACTACAGGTATAATTTGGTACAGCATATGTCTATAGTTTATTCATCTTGCTTACCTGAAACTTTATACCCAGGGATTATTAACTCCCTAATTTCTCATTCCCCCAGCTCCAAGCAACTACCATTCTACTCATTAAGTCTATTAATATGACTGTTTAGATACCTCATATAAGAGAAATAATACAGTATTTGTCTTTCTGTGACTGGCTTATTTCACTTTGCATAATGTCCTTAAGGTTTATCCATGTTATTGAAAAGAAGAATTTCTTTCTTTTTTAAGGCTGAATAAATATTCCATTGTATGTATATACCACATTTTCTTTATACATTGATATGCGCACATACAGTTAGGTAGTTTCCACATCTTTGAATAGTTTCTTTTGGACTGAAGATAGTTGGGTATTTTTGTTTTGGTTTGGTTTTTTGCTTGTTTGCTTTTTGTTTTTAGATGCATTAGATGTCTTTTTACTTGGCAGTTTAATCCATTTACACTTAAATTAGCAATAGGAAAAAGAGTTTACTTCTGGCATTTTATTAATTGTTTTCTGGTGGTCTTGGAGTCTTTTGCTTGTCTTTTCCTTTCTTACTGTCTTTGTTTGTGTTTTGTTGATTTTTTTTATTGATGTGGTTTGAATACTTCTTTTTTCTTTTGTGTATCTTCTGTAAGTATTATTTTGTAGTTACCTTGGGGTTCATAATATCTTGCAGTTGTAATAGTCAATTTTAAACAGGCAATAACTTAAGTTCAATCACATACATAAAATCTACATTTTAACCTCTCTCTTCATGCACTTTGTATTATTGTTGTCATGGTTTACATCTATTCATAATGTGTTATCTTTTAATGTTTTTTTTTAGTTCTATTTTAGCTTTTAACTTTTCTAGTAGAATTAAGAATGATTTACCCACTGCCATGCCAGCAGTATAGACTCTGTATTTGTTTATATATTACCTTTAGAAATGAGTTCCCTACTTTCATGCTTTTGTATTTTATTTAGAAACCTTTCATTTCAACCTGAGGGACTCCCGTTAGCATTTCTTGTAAGCAGAGTGATGAACTCTCTCAGCTTTTCTCTGTATGGATAAATCTTTATCTCCCTTCATTTTTGAATGACAGTTTTTCTGAGTATGGTTTACTACTTTTTTTGTTTGTTTGTTTGTTTTTGTTTTGTTTTGTTTTGTTTTTCCTTTAGCACTCTGAATATATTATACCATTCCCTTCTGGCCTGCAGGGCTTCTGCTGAAAATGTGCTGATTGTTTTATGGGAAAGGGAGTTTCTTGGAGGTGACAAGTCACATTTCTCTTTTTTCATTCAAAATCCTCTGTCTTTGAC